GCGGTTTTTGATCAAATATGTCTATAACGAACATTAGGAAAGCACCCACTTTTGAGACTAGTTACGACTTGAGACCACATTAGGTAATTTAAATTCAATAATATTGTATGCTAAATGCATTCAGCTGTTAAGTGTCGACGAAAACGGTTTATTAATAAATGCAATATTGTTAATTGTTATAATATTAATCCATGTTAAATGAACAAAAACAATCACTAACATTATATCTTTTGATTTACATTTTTCTTAAAACTGCATGATGGAACATGCCTAATGGCGAAGTTGGTGTTCAAAACAATGTATTTCTTACACATTGGTAATAATATTACAATATAATATGTAGATAGCCAGATAGGTACATTAATTAATCGTTTATGTCGCTAACATTTAGCGTATAATATTTAGAAATAAAGATGACGGCTGACTTGTATGATCATTTTATTGTACGGGTTAGTCTTAGTCGAAATTATGTAGTTTTTAGTATGTTAACGGGCTGGATAAGAGATTTTGTTTCTGACCGATTTTTAGTTAGATTTTCGTTGTCATGGTTACTTAAAATTTAATACAATTTAATTACAAATAAAATAAAGTATACTATAGATATATTATATATTATAAATTATTATACCAGAAACGAGCTTGCTCAGTTGGTATACGTATCAGCTCTTATCACTATTATTGTAGTAATTTAACTTTTGTAATTTGACTATTGTATTATTGTATTGAAATAATGATATTGTTTTTGCTGAAATAAATAAATAAAATAATAAAATAAATAAATATAGCTTGTTTTAGAATATTATTTGCTTAAATATAGATATACTTCAGAAATTACGAATTCTAATGCTAGATACCAGAAATCGTCCAGAAATACAAACAATACTGAATACAATAAAAATTATATTATATTATTTGGCTTTATTTTTTAATCATTAAGTAAAAAATTAATTTATAAGTTATAAGGTTGCACGCATTACTCAATATTTTTAAAATAACGTTAGAAGCCCAATAACATATTTATGATTCATAGTTTTCCCCAACGTGGAAAATATCAAGCAGTGTGCTACTCTCATCCCGCGAGATCGACATTTTTGGACGTTATAATAACAATAATTATAATTGATAAAATTATTTTATCATATTATTTGTAAACATAAAAGTATTTTTTTTCCAATCAGGAATATTATAGTTTTCATGATAATCGACGTTTTTCTTAAACTCCCCCTCTCTTTATGTTTTATCACGAGCTTTTTTCTGACGTATAAAAATAAACATAATGAAATAAAAAGTTTTAAAACAAACCGTCGAAATCGAATTGCTGTGTTGCCAATTGGTTACGAATGTTGCTTGACAGTGAGTAGTACACTGTAATGGATGTGTTCAATTTGAATTTAATATTATAGGTACATCATCACTGTAGTACTGTACACGAAAAAACGATTCTGAGCGAAGGAGGCGAGTCGATCAGCATCAATTTCTAAGGATAATTTATCTCATGATCGTACTATATGTCTACACTCTATACCAGGGGTGGTCAAACTTGTTTTGATTAAGATCTACTGAGTATATATTTTTTCTTTTAAGATCGACTAATGTAAAAAAAAAAAATTAATATATAAACATACTTATATAAATAATAAAATTAAAGTGTTAAGTTATCTAAAATGAGTGTTTCATGTTAAATTACAAATATATAAGAATAATTAATACATTTTAACAATGGGGATCGACTTAGAAATCGTCCAAGATCGACCAGTCGATCGCGATCGACTGTTTGGCCACCCCTGCTCTATACCATCATTACAAATGTTATGCAATCATCAAAATTCGGTAACTTTAACTGATTTTTGCCAAAAACATATAGCTTATTATAATATATAAATCAATACCGATGTACTGTATAACCGTGAAAATAACTAAAATAAAAACAGAAATAAACATAGTTTATATGATTTATTATTTAAAAAAATTCAGTGTGTAGACAGTAGTTATAGCTAGTATACCCAATGCCCAAAAGGAGAAAAGTTTCAAGTATCTACGATTGATATTTTTAGAATTACAACGTCATAATAATTAAATCGTTGTTTTTAATTAAGATATCATCCAATTTCGTCAAAATTAGAACTCAAAATGTCTACAAAAGAATATTGTGCACATTTATTTTTGATATTTTGCTGTAAGATCAGCTCACGATGTCACGATGAGGAACCTATTATATCTAATCAATAATCATCAACCTTTTCTACTGACAAACAAAAGTGTAGGTAATCATGAATAAATAATACAACTTGGGTGTTGTTTTAGATTCTGAGTGAAACGATGAATGTATTGATTTTACAATGATGTGTGTTTTTTTTTTTTGTGTCTGTGTACACGATAAGTAGTCGAAATAATGCTTCAGATAATCGACTTCAGTATCTTGTTCGATTGGAGAGTGAATATCGTTGGTGCATTGGGGAGGTCAAAATTTAAAATTCCCAATAGTTTTCACAAGCGCCGGGAAAAACAACATAAAAATGAAGGGAAAACGGGAATTTTTACGCAAAATAGGTTTTTGACAAAATCGAATTTGGTTTTTGGTGTAACTTTAAAACAAATGACTGTAGGAACATGAAATTTTGACTGGTTGTTTATATTTGCCTTTTCTATACACGATAACATTTTCAAAATATTTTGATTTATTATGAACTGTTTAGGGACATTTTCATTTTCCTTTTTTTTTTAAAAATATCAATAAAACTTTGTTTGTTGAGTAGAAATACTTAAAAATTTAATACAAGGTTCCTACTATATTGTTTCAAAGGCAGATGAAAAATATTAAAAATCGTTAGTCACAGTTTTTTTTTATAAGCATTTAAAGTTCAAAAATTGACAAATCACGAAAATTAGCAAATTATTTTGAGTTAAGTATTCGTAAAAATTTTTCTTTTTAAATCTAAGATTTGAAAATGTAATACAAGATTACTCATAAGTTTGTCTACCTTTATCAATAAAAAAATCTCTACCGGACAGTCAAATTAAATTTTTATGAGCGTTTGAAATTCAAATTTTTACAACATTGGATGTTCACTCGATTTCTCATGTAGCGATTTCCTTATTTTATTGTTATTCATAAACGAATAACTATAGATACATGAAAATTTCACTGAATGTTTGTATAAGCATTTCCTATACACCATACAATTTTGAAAATATTTTGACTCTTTTTGAGCTGTTTACGGATATTTTCATTTTTAAATTTTTTTAGTTTTTTTTTCTATGAATATCAATAAAGTTTTATCTGTTGGGCCAAAAAGTGTAAAAATTTAATACAAGGCTCTTGATATATTGTTACAATATCAGTTGAAAAATATCAAAAATATTTTAACAGAATTTTTCAAAATCTCGAAAATTATTAATCATCGTAATTAATAAATTATAAAATAATCAGTTTTTATAGCTAAGGATTGAAAATTTAAAACAAGATTCCAGGTAAGTAGTTAATTCTTTTACCAAAAAATCTAAAAAATATACAATCACAGTTTATTTTTATAGTCATTTTATGTTCAAATTTGGACGAAATTACACATTAAAAAACCTAGTTATTTTGTTGTGATTATATAATATTATTCATGGGTACCTACTTGAAACTTCTAAAGTTTACTATTATATATCAATGATAGTATCAGGATTTGTTATTGATGTTGATGTATAACGTGTTATAAGTACCTAATGGATATTGTGATAATGTGATATGATTAATTTGGAATTTATTATAGGTCAATTTTTTTTTTAATACCATAGATATGTATATAATTTGTCTTAAACCTAGACTGACATACCGTCTTCGCTCAGAATCGTTTTTCTTATACAATGATATTGCATCATTGAATTCAAATTTAATACCATCCATTATACAGTGACCCACTTGTAACCTACAGTACAGCAGAGCGACATCCACTTACCCACCTTTTTTAATATAATAAGTGTGTATTATATTGAATTTATTTCAATTTTTTGAATTTATTCATAAATTTCACGTCTTCGTGTCCACAATAATCATACACAGTTAAGTTTAAACTGTTAATCGTATATTTTAAGTACCCATTTTTACTCGTTAAAAAAAAAATAATCACCAAGAACGATGGTGTTACATCACACACTCTGGAACTACCACCAACGTTTAGCTTGATATAAATTTGACACAATACGTCATATTTTATATACATTATATTATACATAATAAAGGTAGTATAATGCTCACTCCATCGTCCACCGTGACACGACGGCCTTCACAATTTAACGTGTACCCAGTTAGTCTCTTAATAATAATTTCCTCGAAATGGCGTCTATCTATTATTATAATATACAGATAAACAATAGTACCCGTAGTACAGTCAAAATTATTATACATCGCCGTTTGATTAATTTCTTCAACTTCATCATAATAATAATATACACGTCGTGCTCACACTTTTATTGTACATAATATTTTATACTCGAGTGTATAGTATATACATTATATTATTATATTACATAACATGATATATATTGTATTTTAGTGACTAGGACCTATGACTGGCTAAACGGCTAGTATACTTATATTATATTATACAGGTACCTATAATTATATATTAAGAGCACATTTTCATGACGTGCTTGTAAAATAATTATTTCGGATGAAACTCGCTCATACGTTGTAATATATAATTGCATAAAAAAAACGTATTATTTTATGTTGTACGCAGTAATTTTTATTTAAATACTTCCATGTAAAAAAATTAAACAATCATGGTACAATAGTTAATTACAATAGGTATATATGTATTTATAGTCTTCTGAAATATTGACTGACAACTACCCTGCGGATAATCGGTACTCATCGTCGAACATCATGGCACAAATTTATAGATTATACAAAGGCAATGTTGGATGGATTGTTAATGGAAGAACAAGGAAAATAAGTGTAAAGTGGCCATTTCCAGGGGAGAGGGAATGGCGGGAAGAATATTGCGAACGCCTTAAGCTGTCTCTTCGGCCGGAGCGTTGCTGCTGCTGCTCTCAACTGCTACTTCCGGGGCGGAAGTCGACTGGACGGAAACGTCGGCGGCGGCGGCAGGTGTGGTGGCAGAGGCTTCGGCTGGTGCGGCCGTGGACGACGACAAGCCGAAGGGTTGGAAAGCGGCGGCGTTGTTGTTGCCGGCCACTAGTCCTGGGTATGGCACGAATGACTGTGAGTACTTGAACACCTGGCTATGGAGCGGATGGTCAAGGGACGAGATTGAAAGCGGCGTCTGGTCGGATTGCACGACAGTCTTGGAGAGCGGCGTCAGAGTGGGCGACCCTTCGACTAAGTAGCCTTGATTGAATTGTGATCCGAAGTTGCTGAACGCGGATTCGGGCGAGTACGAGGCCAAGGAGGCTTGAGATGACCACTTGGACACTGACGGGTGGTTGTAGAACTTGTACGTGTCCAATGGTGAGGCAGAGTTGGATGGGTCATATCTGAAACAGGTAGGTATGATTTTTAGACGTGAGAGAATATTAGCACGATGAGAAAATTATGACCAGGGGTCAACAAATGGCTCATAATAATATGTATATATTGTATATGTATAAATCTATTTCAGCCTTCAGGACACAACCGTAGTAAAAATTTGGTTATTTTATTGTTTGTTGAAAGTGCATAATATTTTATAGTTTTACGATTTTTTATGCATATTTAATAATTACTCTTAGCAACTTATAAAACATTTGAAAAAAAAAACAGTTTTTATTATTTCGTACCGTGTGCAAAATGTATAAAAACAAGACCAACGTCTTTTTATTTATAGAAACCCGCATTTATTATATTTCCCGTGTTGGAAACTATTCAGAACACCGAAATTAAAAAGTTTGAAATTGTGCAATTCAATACAATTTTTTTTTTTTTAATTTTAGTGTATGGTATAATGAGAAAAATTGTTTCACATTAATAATTATATCAAAATAAGTGCAGTTTTGTGGGTTTTTAAGAGCATAATATAGCTGCATGCATGTGCAGTTCATTTCATATAGGGGCGGTGCAGCATCGTTTAACGTTTTGAATCCATCTAAAACGATTAGTTTCAAATTCCGTCGAATATCAATATGTCACTAGAAAACCACTTGGAGAATCGCCTCGGTTAGTTGGTTGGGGGGGGGGGGGGGTCGATGTTAATTATACACAAAGGTAGGTGTACTTACAACAGAGGCAACTGTCCGTTGAACGGGTCGTTCTGGATTATCTGTACGGAGTTGAATTTCGGCTGTGAAGTTTTCAGGCCGTTGGGCAACGACGATGGCAATGACGATGGCAATGGTGAACTTGCAGGGGTTATATTTTGTTTCTCGTCGCTTGCGGCTTTGTCTTGACTCTTGGCGCTGTTTGCGCTTTCGAGGACGGTGGCGATCTCGGCCGACGGATTGCTGAAAGAAGCGCTCTGGGCGAACTGTGCAGCCGGGTCGGCGCCGCTTCCGACGACCTGTCCCGACTGTGCTGCAGGGGTGTTGGCCCCGAAGTTGGCCGCAAACGCCTTAAGTTCTTCTTCCGAGAAACCGGGTGCGTCGAAGTAGGGGTAGTACGACGGCTGTTGAGCGCCGGCGGACTGTCCGAAGTACGGGAATCCGGACGAACCGAATTGACCCAGAGACGACGTGTCCGTGATGGGAACGGGCCCGAATTGAGTGCTCTGCAGTTCGAAGGGTAGACCCGGCAAGTTCACTACACATAGGATCAAGATAAGCATATTTTATAATATTATATATACCAATGTAAAGGTGTTCACCATATTCACTATACGGACCAAATTTGCACACTATATATTACTATTATTTTTAAATTCAGTAAAAGGCGTTAATCACCTAAATTATTTTATTTATTAATAACATGTATTTGCAATTTATTCTAATCCGGTGAATTTAAGAACCAATTTTACCTCCAACTCTTTTTAACCTTTGGCTTATAATAGGTGGTGAGCAAACTCATCAACATTTTATCGTTTGTTTGCAAAATATATTATATTATTATTATAGTTTTGGTCGTCATAAAAACATAAACATCATGTGAAATTAACAATAATAGTAAAGTTATAAAAAGAATCGTGTCGGACAACCCGACAACGATCTCGAACGTAATATATTTGAACCATAATAATAATAATAATAATATATATATATCTAATGGGAAACACAGAAAAAACATTGTTCGTTAAAATCATGAATATGGTTCTGACGATGGTTGATTATTATTTATACGAATTTACAAAAAGTACGTCCATGAATAAAATATATCACCGAGATCTTGAAATTACTAATTATTATCGTATGAAATCTTAATTTATTTATACAATCATTTTTACTACCTACTCATATTAATAATAATAATATATTACATATTATTATATTTTTTCCGACAATTCCCACTAGACACAAGGCCGGATTAAGGGGGGGTCTAGCCGGGGCGGAAGCCCCGGGGCCCTTTCAAGTACCAAAATGAAAGGGGCCCAAACAATTTTAAGCTGATACACATTTTTCAGTGATTTTAAAGAATAGTTTTTCTATATTTTAAAAACCATTTTTTTTTATCAACAAAAACAACTAAATAGTAAATACCTTTTTGTAGGAAAGGCGCATTTTACCGTTATTTAATAACTGTTAGTTAATATTTGTTGTAAATAAGTATAATGTTAATAAATTTAAAAGTTGGTATGAAAATTTGAAATTAAATTAATGAAGTATGAAGTATTAACTCTGTGGAATGATGGCAGAAGCTGATATGTACATTTTGTTCATTTTTCAATTATATCATTTAAATAGTTTAGAAATCGTATATTTCGTTTTTAAAAAAATTTTTCTTCTATCATGTCTCTATTATGTGTGTGGTGCCATTTATATTCAAAGACCAAAACTGATAAGTCATTAGGTATTTGAAAATATATGTAGCCGTAAAACTAAGTTTGTAAAATGTACATATCAGCTTCTGCCGTCTTTACTTTTATTATATTACAATTAGTGAATAGTGGTTGTATACTTTATAGACAAATAAATTACATATACTTACCTATTCATTTTATAATTTTATAATGCAATTGCCATTTGTGAAATAGTTAGAAAAATGTATCTTCCTGCGGGCGTAGCCAGTTTGTTTTAAAGCGTGCCTTGTCAAAAGGGCCCATATGAAATTTCAAGCCCGGGGCCCAATAGGTTCTTAATCCGGCCTTGACTAGACATCACACATTCACACGGTTAGTTTTCACGATCAATATTGTAAATACGATAACAATCGCTGCTACTCATCAAATTTTTAATGAACTTACTCACAAATAGTATTATGACGCATAAAACCGTGCCAACAAAGATTAATCAAATTCACCGCGGCGTATTTACGAACAGGCATGTCAAACTTAACAGTTTTTTTTTCGTTTGTATTTGAACAATATAAAAACAATATTCAATTATTTAATAAGAATATACAAACAATAATTCCAAAACGGTACATTGGCCTCATTAGATAATAATATTATGCACTGGAGGTGATCTCATCTTTGTAATAATTATTATTTGCGAATGCATTTTGTAAGTCATTGAACGCTAGCGGTCAACTCGACTGTTTCAATTGACTTTATAATCAAATATAATAATGGAACAGACACGAGGAGTGTTATATATTACTATGTTGGACGAGATTGGGTTTTAATTGAATTTGAAATTACCGTACGAAATGATTAATGTTCGCAGGCAACTGTAGTGGCGAATTATTACTCCGAATGACGAGGCGTTTCACCAGGCGTGAAATAATAAAATGTCCATTTCAAATTAAACTTTTAAATGTGACCGATTTATCATAATGTATTATAATCTATGTCGTTCAAAGTCAAAGTCGTTATCACTAAACGTCCTAAATGCGGTGTAGAGTAGTGGTTCGTAACCCATGGGCCGGGGCCCACTTGTGGGCCGTGTACTCTGGTCGAGAACCTAAGCCAATGGTCAGCAACATTTTAATTGGCATCAACACCTAGATTTTTATTTGATTTTATACGCTTCTGTATTTCTCGATCGTCTTATTTGTGTGCGTTTATATTTTATACCTGCATATATTAGACAATTGGGCCTCAAAATTGTTTTTAGGTAATCGATGGTCCGCATAACTTAGGAGATTGGGAACCGGAGGTGTAGGTAAAAAAAAAAAAACACCGACTTACCGGCTGCAGACCCGGTTGCGGGTTTGTTCTCGGCTGCGACTGACTCGGATTTCGCCTGTCCGCTGGTAGTGGAAGTTTCGCTGGGTTCGTTTGAAGCCTGGGCAGGTACGGCACTGGAAGTCTCCTGGACTGCGGAGTCTTGTGGGACGGAAGCTGTCTGCTCGCTGCCAACGTTGCTGGGTTCGCTGGCCGACGACGACTGTGTTGCACTTTGCTCTTGGGCCTGGGCGATGGCGGCGTCTTCAGCCGACGGCACTACACCATCGATCAGTACTGCGACGGCGGGCGCTTCGTTGGCGATCGGTGCTTCAGCTGGCAGAGCTCCATTGTCGATCGGTATTTCGACGGCGGGCGCATCATTGTTGTTCGTTACTTCGGCGGCGGGCACTTCATTGTTGATCGCTACTTCGGCGGCGGGTGCTTCATTGTTGTTCGTTACTTCGGCGGCGGGCACTTCACTGTTGACCGCTACTTCGGCTGCGGGCACTTGGGGGTCCGAGGAGACACCGGAAGTGACTTCCTCCTGAGCGGGACTGGTGGGCTGGGCGTCCGCAGCGGGCGTCACTGCTGATGGTTCGCCGGTGACCTCCGAGGATTGCTGTTGTACCGTTGCCGAATCGTCTTGAGCCGACGAAGAAGGGATGACTGCGGTAGTGACCTCAGCTCCACCAAATTTTTGATCGACCTTAACCGCGTTCACCGGGATGAGTGTAGTGGGTACGCTTTTTACTGATGGCACGGTGCTGGCGAAAGACTGAATAACAAAACCAGTAACAGTTATATATTAAAACATTATGAGAAACAATATTTTATCAGTCGGTAATAAATTCTACTAAATGGCGTATTTTTGGTTTACTCTCAAAAAGCTGTTTTTTACTGAATGACGTTATATTTTATTTCACGATCTACCTAATGAGAAATACCAATATGTTTTTGTAAATTGTATAACATTACATAATTCAGGCATCGAGTTATGGCAATATTTGGAATATTCCATCTTACATTTTTGGGGTTTTGAGCCCACCCCCCCCTAGTTTCTTCAATGTCTATCTTACAAGTTAATTGGTCAATTTATAACAATATGCAATGATATGTAGCAACTAGCAGTGTGTTATGTACCATGATTCAGCAGAAAATGTCATTAGACTATATTTCATATAGGTAAATTAAATATAAACGTCATGATGAAACTTGTATTTTTATTTTATTTATAGTAGATTATTTTGGTACCTTTATGTTGGTATTCCACTACATGAAATATCACAATAGCGATTTAAAATTTTAAAACAATTAAAAAAAAAAAAGTCAGGACGTTTTAAACATTCATAAATTTATCAAACTTTTCAAATATATTTATTTATGTTTGACTTTTCACTTTTATATGAGCATAAAAAAAAACCTTTACATAACCAATAATATATTATTAAACAATAAAAATCTACCTTTATATTTAAGAATACACTAATAAGTAATAATTAATAGATTTTAAGACCAGACATATCAAGTGACCTTACCTACTTCCTCAAACTAACCGGGCTGGACAAACAAATTTTCAAAATAACGTAATGTTATATATTTTAGACTTAGTATATACATTTGAAAAAAGCAACGGCCTTAGGTGCTAAAGTTTAAGACCAATGAAAGGAAAAAAAATTAACAGTTTTTGTAAAATAGTTTGAATATATAGAGAGAAACAAGACCATTTAACAAATTTTCTACATTTGTAAAATTTAGTCCTGTTACACCATGAATACATAATTTATACCTAGTGCAGTAAACAAATATATAAAATATTATATTATAATATAATATAAGCATTGGAGCTAATGTCATTAACCTCATTATACTTATTACGCATTGTAAAAAAAAAATAATTTATAATGGATCGTTATATAGTCATGAAAGTGCGGAGGTGGTATAGGTTAACGTGGAAGATTTCTGTGTAATGCGATGTGAAAATTCAGGTTGAAACCACAGCTTATCCTCGGTGAGTAAATAATAATATCCAAATGGTGCATCACGTGAATTGCAACAAAAACTTGTTTTTCATGTGACATACTTCTTAATAATTTTACCATAATAACATTATACATCCAGCATGAATCGTAATAGAGAATTGAAATTTGTATGAACAAAAAGACGAATATACCTACTTAAAACGAGATACTCCTACTATAATAGTATAATATGGTGTAACATTTTTATGAACTGTATAGTTTTAATGGTTGAAACTATAAGAGGAAACACAACCAAAATAATGACGAATAAAAAAATTTAAAAAATATTTGTTCTACCATTATAATATAAGTGTCATATAATATTATAACCGTATGAGAACAACGAGTAAGCGTGTGTAAGGAAAACCGTACCCCTAAAGTTACAGACTTAAGAGTCTCAATGGTGTTGAGGTTTGAGATTATGCATACTCGAGGGCCCTCTCTTGCATAATTGGTTTCACGCACAGCAATATTGTATTATGTTTTATTTTAAATAATTTTAGCCGTACCTTTACTGGTGGGAAGTTCGGTACTGGATATCCAAACGATGGCAAAGAAGGGAATCCAAAGCCGGTTTGTTTAGGTAATCCGAATTCAACCGGCTTGCCTAATAACGTATCCTTGGGCCTAGATTGCTTAATGCTGTGTTCTGCTGGAATAATGGCAGAAGAAAATTCAGGTCCGTGATATGCTCCAAATTGGTGTTCTTGGAAGTATTTGCCAGCTTGATTGAAATCGGCAAGTCCCGGGAAATTTTTATTGAATTTTTTCGCTGGTCCAAACTTGTATTGATTGAACTCTGGCTGTACCGGTGCTGGGAATGGTTGGAATCCAAATGGCTTGTGGTTGGGTTCATCAAAACGGTAAGCCTCTGGTCCTTGATAACCACCGTGACCGGGGTATACAACAGGTCCCGGGTAACCAGGATAAGGTCCGAATGGTTGATAATTTGCCCTGTATGGTTGGTAAGGTTGATACGATTGTTTAAAGTGTTCGAATGGTGCTCCGAAGGGCTTTGGGGGCACACTATTGGATCCGAATGCTGACTTGAATTGGTCTCCTTGATAATGCTATTAACATTTACAATCGTAAGTACTTGTGTACAAAAAATAATTAACGTTTTATTTACTTGGTTAGTCAGTGCAGAAAATGGTTTTATGGTTGGCTTTAGTTGTCCAGAAAATTCATAAGTATTACCATAGCTAGCTACACTTAAGATAGTCAACCCCAACACAATGGTCAACTGAAAAATATAAAATAACAATTATTAATATATTTGTTTTAACTAAATTACTGGTAATACTGTAACAGTATTCCCAATAAACGAATGTATATATTATTATGTATTATATTTACTAAGTATAGATAGAGTTACTAGGTAGTATTATAATATACAAGTAATATTTTGAACAAGTATTATTTTAAATACGATGGAAAAAAAAACTGAAGTTTCAAGTTAAAAGTACTATAATCGAACATAAATTTTCCATTATATTAGGTGTACTAATATTATAAATAACTAATGTTTTGTCCGGTGCAAATAAATACGTAATTTTTTATATTATAATTTTTATAATTTGAAAAAATTCAATTTTTTGTTCTTCTCATCAGCTCGACACTAAAATGTGTACTCTGTTATATTTAATTAAATAATTTAATATGTACCTTCCTACATAGTGCCAACCAGTATATCTAAAAATAAATAAATTAACATATTTATTTAAATTTTACATAATTACCAGCTATGTACCTACGTCATACATGCATGCATACATAAGCTCAATTTAATTGACCACCTATGGGTAATAGTGTAGTGTTCCAAGATGATAGTATTAAATAATTCAAACGTTCAAGGTGAAATCATTATCTTTTGTACAACAGATAAAATTATATTATATTATATTATTACATGTATATGGATAATTCCAGGATAGTTGTGACAGTACCTATGTATTACACCGTACAAGAGAATAATCGGGTTTTCCGGAAACTGGTCTGACTAATATTTTGATACTCTGCCAGATCGTTTCGCCAATTTTGCAAAAGTTAAAACAAAAATAGCAAAATTAATTGTTTTAAAAAAATATGAATAATTTGCTCTTACTATATAAAATCATAAAAATAAAATTTATAAAGAAAACTATTATTTATTTTTATTCACTTATAAAATAAAAACGTCCGTGGAAGCTCAAGTATCTACGGTGTATATGTTGAAGATAAATGTTAAATTTGTTACACTATTGAAGTTAGTGCCTAATTATATATATTTTTAATGTAACGAGTGATGGTCATAAATAATGTCATAGACGTATAGCATATAACACCCATAATATTGCATGGCTTACATGATTTCATCAACAACGTAATAATTGTAAATTTTTAACGTAAAAATAATAATATTAATTGCAAAGGTCATAAAAACGTATTATAGTTTCAACATTATACCTAGTTATCATTTTTCGATTAGCTTTACATAATTATATGTAGGTAATTTCAAAGCACCTAATTAAATTAATTAAACAGATTTTGTTATTGGACAACAAGGCGAAAGTTGTGAACACATTACCATACAAACAATGGATCTGTGATAGCCTAATAAATATCGAAAACCGTATATATAATATGATTAAATATATTAAATTGATACACGTGCGACTAGATTTGATCGACATCATATTAGGTATATTTCAATCTTTACATTTTTATCAAGGTAAATTCGTTTAAAATAATTCAAGATATAAACATAGGTAGTGCATATTATTATTGTGTATGATATATTTCATAATTGCAATTGGTATAATAATTATTATGACTTAATTTCTTAAGTGCAACCCATATAATATAATATGTATAATACGAACTTATACGTTATGTTTTTTATTATTTCGAATACCACCTGTCGTATTGCAGTAATAATGTATAAATGTGTATCGATGTTAAGTATAATTTAAGACAATCATAATATTATCTTGATTCCATACAGGGTGTCAACTTGTCGCAATGTTATCGTAGTAATTTTATAGGTTATAAATCTATACATCACATTGTATAATATCCTTATATTACATCATATAGCATTTCTGATATAATTTTTGCATAATATATTAATTATTATCGAGCGACCGATTATTCTCTACATCAAGTTACCATAATATTATAATACTTTGTTCATAATACCGGATAATATAACCTATACGTTTTCGAGTTTAGTAGATATATGTTTTAAAATGACCGAACATATTTAACGTTTTTTTTTTATTATTCAAATGTATTCATATGAATTATATAAAAACCGATGGAAAAAAAATGAAGATGTTACGCGAGTACTACGCTACTAGTATGTAAATTTAGATCATGTCAACATTTCTATGCGAAGAATATCCATTATATACATAGGTCACTGTGTTAAATGAAATTCGGACAAGGATAAATACAATTGCTGTCCAGACACGTTTTATGGACGTACACGAAGTTAACTTATTTTTCTAGTATAGTAGCCGTGATAGGTGTCGCGTGATTATGATGTTATTTTAAATTCATAATGTTATTAGGCAGAACCTTGTCCTTGGTGTAGGTAAATCTAAAATTGTAATGGAACGAAAGCAAATTGGTTTAGGAAGCAAAATAATCTCTATTCAATCAACTGAATCGCTATGGTATGTACCGTCGGAGTGCCAAAGTATTATATTATATAGCATAGATAAAAAAGAACTATTGAGCAGGAAAAAAAACGATTCCACATTGGACGTTTGAACATGTTTTATATACATCCACCAGAATTAATTAATTATTTAATTGTACTTTGTTCACACAATCGGGATGAATAAAATTTCATATTACCACGTATACAATATATTAATATTTCATTTGAAAGATGCGGTAACTGCAATCATCGAATTTTCGAAATAAATTATTATAATACGTCATGATATCATCCCGTTTGACGCGCAGAATAATAATCGTATAATTAAGCTCTGAAGAAATACCTAATAATAATAATATGTCAATAAGAATGGACATTTCATCGTTTGTCTCGTCATTCACATAAAACAATTAACTAAGTGTTTTAACACACGTCTTGAACAATGAGCCAATGCGTTTTAAATTTTAAAAAAATGTCACGTTAATGACCACCACACGAGACGCATCTAAATAATTTATATAAAGGTGCTTTTGACACGCTTTTTGTCAGTGTCGCGGCTGCAAAGGTGTTTTGCCAAAACAGCCAAACGTTTTATTTTCAAACTGTCTGTCATCGATGTCAAACGAAACGTTTATCAAGTCCAAAGAGTCAAAGATGTATACTATAGATGTGTATACGCTAATTTTTTTTGGCATAACTTTTCATCAGTACACTCGTCGTCGAATTGTCGTGAATACATTTTCACCTTCTGACGATAGATAGGTACTATTTGCTTGTTTCACCAGGCTGATAATAGAATTACTCACAAAGTGTAGGCATTCTCGACGTGTTTTCATTCGATTACATTTCACTTCTACTCTTCCTTTGAAATATTCAATTATGTTAATGAAAATGGTGTGTGTGATGTTACCTAAATTTTTACCCGTTTTATTAGGTATCTACTCCATATTTTAATTATATATAGGTAATACTTAGATAATAAGTAATTTCCATAATTTATAATTATGGTTAAGAGAATATTGTGTTTTAATTATTAAGTTATTATGATTCTATATAACTACCCAGTATTTTTTCTAGTGAGTTACCTACATGTATTTGTAAAATACATAAAAAGGCACCCCACATGGGGTATTTCACTATGTTTAAAATTAATTAAATTTATACAAAGTTGAAAATACAAAGAAAATTTATTTTTAAATCTATAGTGTTTGTGTTACTATTTAGTAGGAATACAAATATACTATTTCTAAATAAGACCGTTTAAAGGAAAATTCACAGCCCTGTCCGTAACATTTTACAAATATACGTAATACATATAATATATATATATTATAATTATTTATTATATATGTGTAAGTAAGCTATTGGTTACAATTTTTTTTTAATTGGTATACCAACAAATTATCTGCTAAAATCGCTGATTTCAAGATTTTTTAAATTCCAAAGTAATTTGGTTATACCTACCTATTGTTTTCATATTTTATCATTTTTTTTAAGTAGTTTCAAATTGCACTCATACCATGAAAATGATTATCTGTCTAGGCGGACTTCCTAGATCTTCCCCACACATATTTTATCGGGATTTTAATAATATGTATATTATATTATATTATTATACACGTAGGAGTAATCATAACTCATTGCCGTGACGCCTTAACATGTATAAGGCGTTGCCCAACAAGAAATACTTGTTGAAAACACATCGATTTAGTTCATAATGGTCTATTATACAATGAGTTCAGTTTTATTTAGATAAACAACCACATACGAATTGCTTATTGAATGCCAAGGGTATTATTATTTATGCAGGTATAAGAAGTGATCAATTATATACATGTGTGGTGTACACACTATCGGCTTGTGATTAGTTAGTAAGAATAATAAATAATATTTTTCAAAGCGATCCTGACGATATCATATAAGTATATATATATATTGGTTCAAAGGAAGTTCGATTTTGAAATGACAGTTATAAAGATCTGTTTTGAGTAGGTAATTATTTTCGAGGTATAGGTATATATAGGAATGTGTATGTATTTCACAGATCCCAGGCCGCAGTCTAATGATTGAGATTTCGACTCTTTTCGATTCTTTTATTGTTGACCTTAAAAACGCAGAGGTCTGACAATCATTATTGCTGCTCGTTGTAAGGTTCGCTGAACGGAAAATGTTCGTTTCATAACAAGCCATTATTTAGTTATATGAATATTATCCACCAACGCTATCGTGATGACCACACAAGATATATAATAAGGTGCGTTGCTAAATTTGATGATATCGACTATGTGGGTCAAATATGTTCCAAACTTTTAAAGAATTAAAAATATTGTACATAATAATATGCAATTTGAAATTTTTACATTATTAAATATGGAAAATTCCCAATACTTTAATATATACATTATTAAACATCCATTGAAAAGTTATTGGATTACCAGAGAACGGTTTTTATAATAATCTAATAACACATCAACCAATTTGAATTATTTTTTAGTTATTCGAAATTACTTTTAACTTGCAGGATACCCAATTATTATTTCGAAACATATATACACCTATAACGTTGAATTAAAAAATAATACAGTTTATAATTTAAAAAAATGATGTTAATTGCCTACTTATTTATAACTATATTATTGCTAAATTTTTATAAAAAAACAAAACTTATTCAGCAAGGTTTGATTGTACGCTAATTTATAAATTATATGTACGTAGGTACCCATCAAACATTGATACTCGTCGCGTATTACTTATTATTCTTTAAATAATTACAAATCGGAAAATTGCACTCATTATATTCAATTATGAACTTTCTAAACACTAACTATCACATTTCAATACCTATTTTTTTCTAATAATAGACAAGTATAATATAATTTTACAATATCAAAGTTATATATTATTTATAATCATTAAGCTTGTTAATTAATTTTTTTTTAATTTCTTTAAACGTATTAACAACTTCGTATTATAATTAATATTTAATATCAATGTGTTTAATTAATTAACCAATAATTAAAACAAGGACAACTTAATTTATTTAAACATAAATTTTGGCCAATATTTTAAAATAAAAATGTAAATTGATATAAGTTGTATCGGTTTTCATTAAAAACAAAGAAAAACATAGAACTCCAAACATTCCTAATGTCCAGTGACAGTTATTAATGTATTTGAAATCAGAGTGTCATCGATTGACTTGACTTTTTATACATTTGCCTAACATAAATCGTATTACTTTACCCTGTTTTAGTAGGTATACCTGGTACTTATATATTATTACTTATTAGTGATCGTAGAAAAAATGTTAGGTATTAAAATATATATGGTATTTAATATTTATAGGTACATATTTTGTTAAACGATTAAACACATAGATAACTCATAACTGTGTCAATATGTTTTTTCATAAGTATACATTTACTCTAGCCCTTAACAGTAAGTATAAGGTGTAATGTACATATATCGCAAAAAACCTTTAAAAAAAAAACAACAGTTAACCCATAACCCACATAACATTGGCTTTAGTAATTTATTGTTGAGATATGTACTACCTTTTACTTTATGCAAATACATGTAAATAGATTAAAAATAATCGCAATTAAAATGAAATGAATAACTCGTTCTAAAGTTATGAACTGAAATATAAGCTCTAAGAAATTCTCAAATCGACTAAAACTGAACTTTACGAGTTTTTCTGACTCTTTTGCAGAGTTTTCAAAATTTTTCAAGACGACTGCTATAGCACATCGATTATTTAAGTGTTAGAAATCGCATTTAAATTGTACATAATTGTAATTAGCCTCATTTTTGTATTGTAGTATATTAACCGGTAGGTACATATTTTGACAACTCAAATGTCAAGTTAAAATGTGGACGGTCTAAAAGTGTATTGCGATTTACACCGAATCATTAAATGGTTGATAGTGTATAATATAAATTCGAATAGCGAGTTTTAGTGTAAAATATATTAGAAATAAAAAAATTGTTGTCTACATTAATTGTATGAGATTAAAAAAAAAATGAATTAATAAAATAAACGAAAAGTTTTTTTTTTTGATTTTCCGATTTCGTATAATATCTTCAGTAAAATAAAGTCTATAATATAATAATGTAATTGTAGACGTATTACACTATCTGTATCATATAATGTATATTATAATAGATGCTTACTTTAATATTATTAATATAATTATATTAAGGTGACGGTTAAAGCAAAATACTTACTGCCATCGCGAAGAAGTCCGCTGGAGACTTTGACGAAAAATAAATAAAACAAAATGCGAACGCGGTCCACGTTCAGCACCGCACGCAATTGTCTCCGGATAGATATTGAAAATTATTTAATACCGGTTTTTGTTTATATAGGTACGGCTGTAAACGGGTAAGGAAACAATAATATATATAATGTTATCGTAAAAAAAACTCGCACGCACACACACGCGCGCACACACACACACACACACACACACACACACACACACACACACACACACACACACACACACACACACACACACTCACAAGTGCAGACGAGAGTGCGATGGCGAACCGGTAGGGAGATTGTGTGTGCGATGCTGTGGTGTATATAGCGGTGGCGTTCTCGCTATATTATTCCTCAGCAACGGGCTCCCGACAAGACAAGGACACTTATACGGCATATTATTATACATTATTTTACAATATTATTATTATTAGTAGTATTAGTAGTAGTAGAAGGTATAATTATTATTATTATTATTATTGTGTATGAGAAAAAGACGATCGACGACGACGGGCACACGACGATGACAATATTATATTATATGCGGTGCCTATGCAACAGCAACTGCAGTCGTCAGCAGCGTTGTATACCAGCTGACACCTGTACGATTTGTAATGCATCGATCATTTAATACCTATGAGTATCTCGTACCTACGTCGGAGATTCGTCTTTTTTCACTCGGCCTTTGAGATCACTTCTGCACGTCGCCGTCACTATGTCGTTGAGTGTCTTAATCGCGTCCGGCGTCGAATACATAAATATACATATATATTATATTTAATTTGACCAAAGTCCATCGTTGGATCATGATATCCTTGTAGAACGAAAACGTCCCATCTCCCCAGTGCAGTCTGTCACCGTCAGTGTTTCGCTTCAAAAACGAATTTAAAAACCATGATCGGCGCACTATAGTCAAAATTATAGGGTAGCAAACAAAATATTTACAATTAATTACCGTCTGTTTATTTTTTTAACCGTGAAAAAAAATATGTACCACTATTTTTAAAACATAATTATATTTTGTTTATTTGGTATATTTATAATTTTAACTGAACTTTGTTATATTATTAGAACATAATATTATAGTACTTATATACATTTTAACCAACAAAAATTGTTTTGACGATGATATTTTTAGTTTTTACTTTATACACATATTAAGTTACAACTCACAACTGAAAAAAATGAATTATTTTCTTGAATAATAATTAATATTGAATATAATTTTGTCGTAACAAAACAATACCTTTACTACCCCATACAAATGTATAGGGTAGCAATAGCACCCCTCGAATGGCCTCGATACCCCTAGTGACGCCTGTGTTAAAAACTAAACACTTAACACATTATTATGTTTTAACTTTTCAGAAAATACAATACATAACTATTATCGAAACGTAGAGGTGTATATTTTCTGATGAAATTATTGTTCAAATATTCGTCTAAAGTGTGTAAATATTGAATTCATTTTTTCCATTTTATTTTTTTCTAGGTATAATATGTCATCTAAGCCAAACCTTCACATTCTCAACGGATCACATTTGTTGTGTTTTGACATAATATTATAATAAATCACGAGAAACAAATTTAAAATTTAAAAATATTTTAAATATTTGGTTGACATTGAAATTGTTATTTGTGTGTGGTTATAAAAAAAACAATGAGTCTTCAATGAGTCTTTAATTTGTATCATTTAGATTATAGACGATTCAAAGTCTTGAAGCATATCGAATAAAAATATTAAAATTATATACCCTAAAGGTGGAAACATGTTGAGTCATAGAAAATGTACAAACTCTCTAATATGAAGTTAATGATAATTTAATTTCATGGTCAAAACTGAAAATATTTATAAAACTAATAGTGTTACAGAAGGAAGTTATAGATTTAAATAAAATAGTAAGATAATCCTGCCTAAGCCATTAAGTATAGTATTAAATTTTATTTAACAAAAACAATAGCTTCTTATTCACAATATAATATTACAATGACGAATAATTGGAATACTTTTATACCCGTGTTTCTACACTGTATTTTTTGAAATCCGATTGATTTTTGATCAAAATATCTGGAAAAATGTATTTATTTTGTATTTAATAACGATTAATAATTTAACGAAAATAATACAGTAAATAAAAATAATTTATTCAAGTTTATTCTAGTATGTTATATTATACATTTTTAAAAAATCTTTAGAACAATAATATATATTGTAATTTATTCGAAGGACTTGCAAAACTAATAGTAATATACTATAGTATTTACTATTTACAGGGATGTCTAAAAGTTTTAGTAATAATTTAAAAATAGTCGTCAACCTTTTAATTTAAATACATATTATATATTGTCTGAAATCCTTGACGACTTATCTATAACTATTTTTATGATACAATACAATATATTATAATATATTTTTTTTTTATGAAAATGTCAAAAGTGATTTAAATCAATTAGGATTTTAATTTATTGTACCACAACGTAAAGGTTTATTAATAAAATGTGAAGTTGTTTCCAATCTACACTAAAACAGTTGTCTAATGACGGATATGGCCAACACCTTTGGGTTGCCTGTTCTATCAATGATGATGATCAATAAACATTTTTCATGGGCAATTTGTGCAAGTTTATACTTTTTATGGGATACCTATAATTGTAATTTAATATAATATATTATTATTTTAATTTCGTAGACTTACGACAAAAACAAAATAACATTGATGATCATATTCATATTATATTAAACATTTTGTTGAACACGCTGTTACATACTATAACTCATATAGATTTGAATTCTGAATGTATAATATGTTTAAAAACCAGTTTTACCCGAAGATGTTATCGTCATTCTCTGTAATAATATTCACCAACATTTTATTATTTTTTTAGTTTTAAACTTAAACACCCAAATTAAGAAAAATAAATTTCACAACACCTAAATATTAGTTTTTATCCGGTGTTAATAAGAAACTTTAATAAGGACCTACAACTACTATAGTATTCAATAAAATCAATAAATTATTCAAATTTTTATATGTTTTAAAAATATGAAAATGCTATGATTTATTAATAAACAACAGTAACTTACTAAAAATACATCATTATCGATGAACAAAATATACTTTACACATTAACACTATAATATAACACATCGTGTCTTATATTTTAATGAATTAATACCCATCATCACTTTGTAAGAGTTACCAAAATAATTTAAAATTCGATTTTGGTATTTTGGGTTGTGTTGAAATAACATAAATATTTATCAGTTTATAAAAAATTAATATTATTATCATCATGAATGTTATATAATTTATAGTACTTGGGTATAACAGCTGATATACAAAATAAGTTAAAATATAAAAATGTTTCATCTGCAGTTCAGATATGTTGCATTTTTTTTTTTTTACAAACAACGTAAAATACCTATCAGTTGAAGTTGATGTTTAAAATAATAACATCGTAACCAGTATTTTTTTTTTGGGATGAAAAATAACATGTTTTGTAATTAATTCGTAACTTAATATATTTTCTTGCTCGATATTACAAATTATATTTGCATTATTTTCTTTAGATATATTATAATGTTATAGGCGATTTTGTAAGACATACATACAAAATAAAATATATAATTCATGATACAAAAATCCCAATGCAAGTTCAAGGTTATTAGTGGTATGTTCTAACTAAAACCACTGTCATAATTCATAAGAGACATAGATTGATTTCCATTGGTTGTCATTGTTGCAGTATATAATGCAACGTATTAATTAACTTACCTATTCTATATCCATTGGTATTTTCCAATTGTATTTTATTTAGGTGGTCGCGCTTAGGATGTTTTTATACTCATAAAAATCTTAAACTTACGGGGTGCCGCCACTGGGTGACTTCCCCCTCCTGTTTACCAAAAATCATCCCATTTACTTATTGTATCACTTGTAAATACAGATTGTAAATATATTATGTTTGTTCAATAAAAAAAAAAAAAAAAAAAAAATCTTAAACTTATAAAATGGTAATAAATGGATATTCATTTAACCCGAGAACTATTAGAATTTTATTTATTTACAGCATAAAGTAGTTTTTTTATAGTTTTAATTTTAATTAACTGGCATTTGATAAGTAATCAATTAATTATCTCGAATTTTAATAGCTTATATTATTATGTAATACATATTTTAAATAAATATTTCAATACAAATTTTTTTATTTAATTTAAGGTGTAATAATGTCTATGTTGATGGTAGAAGAGACCGGTTTCGATGTTACAATTATTATTCTCCTGCGTATAATAATTTATTTTGGACAATTAAATCAAATTACATATTTTTCCAGAATTCAAATATTTACTGTAATATTAGGTAGGTGGGTACCAGCAATATGTTTACTTATTCTCGACGTTAAGGTCAAATCTAAAATCACTACTCCGGAAACCACTATTGTAGTTTCAGTTTAATACCCATGATTCATATTTGTCGAGTGTGCTATATAGCCTAAACCTACTACTTTAACATTTAGTATAACCTCATGTTTATTTTATATTATAGGAATACACATAATATAATACTCATCTAAATAGATATATTTACAATTTTCAGGTAGGTAGGTATACTCAATACGCCATACGGTATTTTTAATCAAGTAAGTATGGTAGTTGAAATGAAAAAAGTCTGAATTTTGAAAACTTGAAGAATTTGTGTTAAATAGGAAAATAATAAAAATGTAACTCAGTAATGATGAGTAGATGGGTAATTTAGCTAGCTTTAATATAAAATATTAATGAGAGAGATTTGATATCACTGATTGATAACTCATTCAAAAGGAATTATCAAGTAGATACAAAATGTGGAATTAAATTTTTTTGTTTTTAGATTCTGAGTGAAACGATGAATGTATTGATTTTACAATGATGTGTGTTTTTTATTTTTTTTTTTAATTTTTTTTTGTGTCTGTCATCACGTTTTAGGAC